TCTAATGGTAGTGCCAGACAGTTATGGTCACTTTAGCTTTATAATAAGATTTAAATTCAATGCATTCTACTTCACTCTTCCTTCTCAGACCCTACTCACTATCCCAGATCTTGTTTTATATAAATATCTTGTCAGCATGTGAAAAGCCAAATGGCACAACAAAATAGCTCAACACATAAGAGAACTTGCTGCCAAGCCTGACAACCTGCAATCGAGTCTGAGTCTGATTTTCCAGGACCCACATGGTAGGAGGAGCAAAATGACTATCACCAAGTTGTCTTCTGACTCATACAAACACATCATGGCACCCTCCTCTCAACAATCAAACAAAAGTAATCCTAAGAGCACTGGCTGTTCTTCTAGAGGACCCAGGTTCAATTCCCAGCACCCACATGGCAGCTCACACCTGTGTAGAACTCCAGCTCCAGGGATTCTGACATCTTTACACAGACATACATGTAGGTAAAACACCAATGAACATAAAAATAAATTATAAAAAAAGTTAAAAATGAAAAGAAGTCACCTTTAGTTTTGATAAGGATTGCAATAACTATGAAGATAAATTGGGAAGAGTATTATCTTAATAGAATTAACTCTTAGATACTTTGAAAATGGAATATTTTCTATTTAGTCTTTTTAATATTCTTTCAATGTTTCCCAGTTTTCAGGTTACAATGTTGTAATTTACACTATCAGTTTATCTTAGATGTTTTATCCTGTGAATGTTATTTATTGTGTCTTTTGCCCAATGCTGTCCATAATGTACACGTACACTGTATCTTATCTACATGCGCACACGCACATATGTGCACACACGATGGTTTTGCTTCTTTTCTAATCTGGATATCTTATTTTCTATTGCAATTGCTCTGACTAATACTTCTAGAAAGATACTAAATAGAAACTACAACAATACATAATAGACCTGTATACACGATATCTAGGAACTTCCTTATATTCCTAGATATCGTGTGTACAGGTCTATATTTGAGAACATATAGCAGTAGTCCTTCCTTATTCCTCTTAATCAGTCATGATCTAAAATTATTAGGTGTTTCAAGAAATAAACAATTCATATTTTTAAGTTGTATTTCCTTCTGAGTAGTGTAAAGAAATCTTAGACTGCACATTCTATCAAGATAAATAATCTTTCAGTCCAGTGAATCCATGGTATATATTCGGGTTTTTTTTTTAAGATTTATTTATTTATTATGTACACAGTATTCAGCCTCCATGTCTGCCTGCAGGCCAGAAGAGGGCACCAGATCTCATTACAGATGGCTGTGAGCCACCGTGTGGTTGCTGGGAATTGAACTCAGAACCTCCAGAAGAGCGGTCCGTATTCTTAACCTCTGAGTCATCTCTCCAGCCCCCTATATTTGGTTTTTTAAGGCAAGGTTTCACTCTATAACCTTGGCTGGCCTGGAACTCATTATGCAGAACAGGATGGCCTCACCTGGCCCACCTTCCCAAGTGCTAGGATTGCCCTATTTCACCCAATTAGTTTCTTTCTTCCTTTTTCTTCTTTCTCCCCCTTCCCCCTTTCATTTTTGTTCGTTTGAGACAGGGTTTCTCTGTGTAGCCTTGCTGTCCTGGAACTCTCTAAAGACCAGGCTGGTATCAAACTCATAGAATCACCTGCCTCGGCTTCCTGTGGGCTGGGATTAAAGATGTGAGCCACCACCACCAGGTTCTAGTTTCCTTTTTTGAGCTTGAAAAAAAACTACAAATTAAAAGAGTACTCATACTTCCTCAGTACTTAAACACTAACAGTGGAAGCACTGTAGCATAATGAATGCACAATGGCTACAACAGTAAACTCTCAAAGTGAAATTTTGCATTTTTTAATTTGAATAATAAAACATATCTTGAAGTGGTCATTAAAAATCTATGAAAGTTTATGTTTTATGAAATGGTGAGCACTATAAAGAATTAAAAAATAACCCAAAGGGCCGGGCGGTGGTGGCGCACATCTTTAATCCCAGCACTCGGGAGGCAGAGGCAGGCGGATCTCTGTGAGTTTGAGACCAGCCTGGTCTACAAGAGCTAGTTCCAGGACAGGCACCAAAACTACACAGAGAAACCCTGTCTCAAAAAAAACCAAAAAAAAAAAAAAAAAACCCAAAGGCTTCAAAAAATTTATAATTTAATAAAGCAAATTAGTTATGACCAAAAACAGAATACAAGAAAAAGACTATTAATGCTTCTTTCGAAGGCACTAGCAGCCTTTTCAAGAGTATTAAAAGTCTGAATATTATTATAAAGTAAAGCTCATTTATTTACTCAGCAATTAATCATTTTAGCAAATTTTGGTTAACTGTGCTTAGTAGAATATCACACCAAAACAGGTATAGATCCCATCTTTGTAAAGAAAATAATAAGCTAAGTAATCATTTTTAGTTGTTGGGAAGTTTTTATTTTTTTAATCTTTTATTAATGGAAGAATTACTTTAAATTTTGTTTCTATTTAGTGGAAGTTTGAAATACTGGGCAAGTAAGGCATCACCTACGAATAAAGTAATATTCAGGAGCAAGAAATCCATCTTTTGGGGGCTGGCTCAGCGGTTAAGAGCACTGGCTGCTCTTGCAGAGGTCCTGAGTTCAATTCCCAGCAACCACATCACTACCATCTGTAATGAGATCTGGCGCCCTCTTCTGGCCTGCAGGCATACAAGTAGGCAGAATAATGCATACATAATAAATTTTTTAAAAGAAAATCCATATTTCAAGTTTTAATTCCATAATACAATGCACTGCAGGATATGGTGGGAAAGTGTGTTTTTGTCTGTGTGTGTTAGAAGTACCAACATGGAAGTATCATATGTAAAGAGTTGAAGACATCAAAGTTTACTGGCATATTTGTGGATTCCCAAAGACCAATGTAATTGAAACTTAGTACATAATCAAAACAAGAAAAATTAGGATTAGAGAAAGTGCAGGGAAGTGACTCCACAGATGAAAACAAGGACTCAGGGCATGTGAGGGAAAAAACAAACACACTCCTCTATCTGCAGTGTAGAACACAGAGGCAAAACAAATTCTATTTGCACTCTACCTCATGGTTAAGATCCTTACTACAATTTTTACTACATGGAAAGAGATATAATGGTCCTCTTTTAAGGATGGAAAAAAACAGGCTAAGAAGAGATAAAACGCCTTGCTAATAAGGTCACAGTGCTAATAAATTAAGTCTCAAATCAGAGACATTTTATAACTAAAGTCAAGCCAGTAAGCACCTTCCTTTCTATTGTTTATTCAGAAGCAATAAAGTAAGGTTAAGACAACAAGCATAGCAAACGTCACACTAATAAATACAGATTTTCCAAAATCCAAAAAGAAGTAACAGTTAAGATTATTCTTATCTCTACACTACATATAGAATACTTTTAAAAATAGGGTAATTTATAAAAAATAATTATCATATGATCTATTAAATATTTAAAACTGTGCATCCCAGAACAGTAAGATTGTGTATGTGAAGCCAGTAAAGAGTAGGTTTACAGTTTTGTTTTTTTTTTTTTTTTTTTGTTTTTGTTTTTGTTTTTGTTTTTTTTTTTTTTTTTGGTTTTTCGAGACAGGGTTTCTCTGTGGCTTTGGAGCCTGTCCTGGAACTAGCTCTGTAGACCAGGCTGGTCTCGAACTCACAGAGATCCGCCTGCCTCTGCCTCCCAAGTGCTGGGATTAAAGGCGCGCGCCACCACCGCCCGGCAAGGTTTACAGTTTTGTAAACTAACTGTGATGATTGATTTTATTGTCAAACTGACGAAGCAGGCTCACACTGCTAGAGAAAAAGCCTTCAATTAAGTAACTGCCTGGATCAGAACGACCTGTGGGATGTATGTGGAGCCCTGTCTTTATTTCTGATAGAAAGAGGTGAGCCCAAACCACCGTGGCAGTACCATGTCTAGGCAAGTTGTCCTGGGCTACATGAAATAACTAGTTAAACATGAGATAGCTAGCAAGCCAGAAATCACCATTCCTCTCCATGATGTCTATCATGAGGTCCTGCATAAGTTCCTGCCCCGACTTTTCTCAGTAAAAGACCATGACTTGGAAATGTAAACCAAACTCCTCAACTCCCAAGTTGCTTTTGGTCAGAGTATTTTATCACAGAAACAACCAGGAAAAAAAAAAAAAATTAACTAAGACACGGTCCAAGTAATTTAAATGTTTATATTAGATTTAATGCATGCCCAATGGCAACCACTTGTAATAAAAGTCAAACTTTTCTTAGTATTTTTTAAATTAAAAGCAACCATGTATTAACTTACTGAAAACAATTTCAAGAACACTGATGCCACACTTTGCAATATGGTACACGCCTGCCAGAAGGTGCCAGTGGGAGACTGAAGTGATGGTTCAGAGGGTAAGTAAGCATTGAGTTGAATATTCAAAACCACAGAACATATACCAAAACCTGGGAATGGTCATATGCATCTGAAACCCCAACTCTATGTACAGGTAGTGACTAAAAGATCAGTGTGGCTTGCTAGCTACCAGTACAACTCCAGGTTCAGTGATAAACCCTGTTCTCAGGGGTATAAAGCAGACAGTGGTGGAGCAGGACACCTGATATATCTTCTCTGGCATCAGCACATAGACACAAGCATGTCTATCACACATGCATGAGCACACATACCCCCCCATATCTTTATTTTTTTCTGTGAATTCGTAGAATTCAAAATGTAAAAATGCAATATAAATACACTGTAATATCTTTCTTGATCAGTAAAAAGATTAAATATATATCCAATCTCAAAAAAGTGTTACTATTTAGTACTTGGTTGTAACACTGGTAAATACATTTGACTTAGCTGACTTAAGAAACTCAAGAACCACTGAATTAAAAATAATTAATTCTTTAAATCTACTAAATTTTAAAATAGCTTGATATTAGAGAACATTTTTATTTACCCAATACGTGAATGATCATCATCTAGGAATAAAATCTTCAAGTTGGAAAAAACATGAATTAAAAAACGTGAAATATGCATACATACCTTTGTCCTTCTTAAAATCCAAAGCATCTTCTTTATCCGTCACTATTTCCTTCATATTGATGATACTCTGGTGGGTGAGTTGCCGAAGAATTTTAATTTCTCTAATTGCTGTAATTGGGAAGCCCTCCTTTTCATTATCCAGACGTACTTTTTTTAAGGCTACCATTTCTCCTATTAAACAGTTAAATAAAATCAGGTTACTAGCTAGCAAAAGATACTTTTCTCTATTTAACTTAAATACTTTTCTTATAATTTCCATTTCTACATTTTAAAATTATAATTCACGAAGGTATTTTAGTTTCCAACATAACAAATAATATTTGTAGTTAAATTAACATTTCAAAAAAATTATGAACTTTTACATTGCATTGAACACTATAAACCTGGTTAGGATGAGGAAGGTCTGCATTTATTGTTTTATACTCTCTACTAATACAGAAGAAAAATGGTGAAGAATGGGATTTTTACCATTCTTTTCTGTGTAAAAGAGGGATCAATATATACACAGGATATTCATTCATTCATATTAATATGCATTCACTCATTCTCTCTCTCTCACCTCTCTGAAAGGAAAATACACTCCAGCATTTATTGTTCAAACTCACCAATTACCTAATCATGAAAATGGGGTCCAATTTGTCTCAAAAATACGTTTCCCCCCATTATACTATATTGTCACATAATTTAGGTGTGTGTGAATTTTGTATCAGACACCAAGTAATATCAGACACACATACACACAAACACAAGTTGTTATAAGTGTAGGTCAAGAAATGCTTTAAATTTTGGAGGTTTAGAGTGTTTTGTTTTGTTTTGTTTTGTTTTATGGGAACGTACATAGACTTAGTAGGCTGGGCATCAATCAGCATAAGAAAATGTTCACTATAATAAAGACATTCATTCTACTTCTTTGGATGGAAAAAGGGGACTAATGTTACATATTTTCTAAAGAGAAAAATGTATGGTCTTAATCATTAAAATTTATTTTCATTTTTATGACTTTTTCCTATAGTATAGTATGTTTTAATCATTAAAGCTTCTAAAAGTTATAATTTCATCTTATTGATAATATTACAGATACCGTTATTCCATGTTCTAACTACCTTCATTAGTTTCTAACCATAAGGTGTTCTCCCATATACTAAATGACCTCAAATAGCTGTCAATTTTAATCTTAGTTCATGTTAAAAATGAACTTAAGCTTAAAAAAAAAAAAGATAATTCTGTTGGGGAGTGGTGGCACACACCTTTAATCCAAGCACTTGGGAGTAAGATGCAGACAGTCTTCTATGGCTGAAGCTAACTTGGACTACACAGAAAAATCCTCCTCCCACCACAAAAAAAAACAAAAAACAAAAAAACACCCTAGCTTATGCAGCTCAATGCATTATTTAGCAAAATGTCAAATTTCTGTAATGTGACTTCTAACACAATTACTTTTCTTCTTTGGAGGAGTTTTTAAAAACCTTCTGCCCAGATTCTTGATTATGTTCTGAAAAATGAATATTCTAAAAAATGTAACCTTCCGAATCTGGTTCAAAGGGTAATTTCTATAGAGGAAAGAAAGATGGTCAAAAGAAAGTACCGCCGGGCGGTGGTGGCGCACGCCTTTAATCCCAGCACTCGGGAGGCAGAGGCAGGCGGATCTCTGTGAGTTCGAGGCCAGCCTGGTCTACAAGAGCTAGTTCCAGGACAGGAACCAAAAAAGCTACGGAGAAACCCTGTCTCAAAAAAAAAAAAAAAAAAAAAAAATTAAAAAAAAAAAAAAGAAAAGTACTATATGATTCTTAATATAAAACAGTCTTTTCCTAAAAACAAGCATGGTGGAGCATGCCTATAACCCGAGTCTTCAAGAAGCTAAGGCCGGAGGAAGTAGAAGCAGTCCTGACTACATACTTAACACTTTGACTCAAAAAGAAAAAAAAGAAACTATTAATACTTTTGCCTAGGTACAAAGAGTTTAATAACTATTCACCACAAAAGGAACACATTGCTAAATCCCACTATAAGCAAAGCACAAATACCAAAGGAACGATTTTTACAAGTTTATTGTGTACCTGTATGTACTGATACTGGTTTAAGTAAACAGAAAATGCATATGCTGAATAAAATTAAGACTAAACAGCAACACAAAGAATTTTTACTTCTTTGGGAATTTTTTAAACTATACATCAGAAGAAAAACAAAAAGTAAGCATGTTCCATCCCAAACTTAACATTCTTACCAGTGTCTTTGTCCCTGGCTTTGTAAACTTGTCCGTAAGTACCTTCTCCAATAATTCCGATGATATCAAATTTATCCACGCAGCGTTTTCCCCAGTCAATATCTTTTTCTTTGATTTCACCATAGCGAGGCCCACATATTCTATTAAATATAGTTCTGAAGTTTTTATAGACAATCAAGCAAACTGAATGAACTGTTTCATAATTCAAAACCAATCCCGCCCAATCTTAAATATGTTATTTCACCCTATTCTTGTGTATTTGTGAAAATTAATGTAAGAAAAGCTACTACTAATTGATATTAAAATTTTCATAAAAAAACTTGTAATTTCTACATACTGACTCTTCTGTAGATTAAAACTTGAAGAAAAAGAAGCAACAGTGCTTTTTTAAAAGGCTTTTAGAAATGTACCTTTTAATAGTGAGTTAAAACCAACATTACTAGAGTCAAGATTTTCTCCTCTGTCCCCAAAAAGTTTTGTTGTTCCAGTCAATGATTTTCTCTTCCCATAAATGTGTGTATCATGTGCATATAGAGAGAAGGGAATGTATATGTGTATACACACACACACACACACATAGTACAAGGTTAACAAACATTAACAAAATAAAATGACTAAAAATTACTTACAAACTGAGATACAGAGCAGGATAAAACCACCCTAAAAGCATTGAAAAATTTTCACTCAAACAAGTATAGAAAATTAATCATATAAAAATCAAGATTCAGAATTCCATAGTTGGGCAGAGTTTAATAGTTATAACAAAAGTCAAATTCTTTAAAAGGATGTTATTATGTAGTGTTTTAACTGTAGCAGAAATTTAAGAATTGAAGTAGGATTCAAGGATAGACTAACGATTTTTCCTCATAATAGAAAATGACCTCATATTTTTAAATTACATGTTACCTGAAGAACAATACTAAATTAAATCTACCCCAAAGTTTTAAACTTCCCTTTGTTAAGCAGATTTTTTTTTAAAGTACCATTGTTCTCATTCCTTAGTTTCAAGGAAAAGAACTTTATGAGGTATTTAACATGAAGCTATATCAGCTCCATTGTTAAAAATTCTGTGTTTTGGAAAACTGAGAATGTATGAAGTTATATGGAGAAATGAATAGTTAAAAGCAAAGGGAAACACTGTCCATTACTGACTTTGTTTGAGCTCACTGAATGCTGCCTTCCACTTTGCTCAGTTTCAGTGTTTTCATACTCATTAGCTATCTTAACTACAGCTAATATATCTCTGACACATACAACAACCCCAAATTAATAAATACAAACTGTAACAAATTTTCATTTGGTTTTATTAGTCAAGGCAAATAGGTATACCACTTATAAAAATTTGTTTCAGAACTCTCAACCAATTTGTACAATAAATAAATAAATAAATCTGTTAAAATAAAAGTACACTTTCCATTTTAAATCTCAATGTTTTCTAAGTTTAAAATGATCCAGGATATAATGTTTCCAGTCAAGTTAAGTGCAGGTAGAAAGCAAGCACATACTTAGGCCTTCTTTTGTTGTGTAACTGTGCTGCTGTTTTCTTCTCCTCCGGACTCTTAGAAAGATCATCCCCTCCTGGTAACTCGGGGGGCAACGGTAAATCAGCAAGCAGACATCGAAGTTTCTTTTCTACTTCTTTTTTAACTGCCTTTACAGAAATATTGCCTCTTAAGCTAAAGAAAAGAAAAGAGGGGCCACATAAACCACAAATGTTTGATTATATAATAATAAAAATACGGTCACGTTTTAAGACTTAAACAACATGCATAGGTTGTATTTCCTAAGTCACACTCACGTCCAGCTAAAACGAACACTATTCTTCAACCACTAAGTTTGCTGTGAGTTAATGCTCTTGTACACTGTAAAAATCTGTCACTTGTATTAATTTAATAAAATACTGATTGGCCAGTAGCCAGGCAGGAAATATAGGTAGGGCAAACAGACTAAGAGAATTCTGGGAAGAGGAAAGACAGAGTCAGTTACCAGCCAGACACAGAGATGAGAATGCCTTACTGAGAGAAGGTACCAAACCATGTGGCTAAACACAGACATTAATTTAAGTTCTTAGAGCTAGTTAATAATAAGCCTGAACTAATAATCCAGTTATAATTACTACATAATTATATTATAATTAATATAAGCCTCTGTGTTTCTTTAGGACTGAATGGTTGCGAGACTGGGCGGGACAGAAACTCCTCTCTACACTAAGTCGAAACTTAGAAAAGTTTGTAGGAAAAGAAATGACACAGAATTAAGTAAAAAACATGGAAATCTATAAAGTGTACACCTTAATGGTAATATATTGATACTCGTTAATTATAATATATGCAAGGTAAACAGGGATTTTAGAATCTTTTTATCTTTGCAAATCTAAGACTATTTTAATAAAATAAAGTATAGGGAGCTTGGAAGATGGCTCCATGAGTAGTAGAACTAGGCATGCAAGCACAAAAACCTCAGTTCAAATCCCAAGAATTCACATAAAACTGGACACAGAGCACAAGTCTACAATTCCAGTATTCCTAACAAGAGAGGGGGAAGAAAAGACAATAGAATCCCTGAAAGCTCTTGGGTCAGCTAGCCTGATATTCACATTGAAGTGGCCAAACAAAGGGAACTTGCCTGAAACAAGGTATAAGGATAAGGACCAACACCCAAGGTTGTCCTGTCACCTGATATAAGCACTATGGTATCCAAATAGCATACACAATTCACATACATAAATAAAACAACATATTTTAAACTCCAAAAAAATATATAGATCTATTTTCAAAACTGTGAACTGAAACAGAAAAAAATCAACTAGTTATGCTTGCAAGAAACCTCATGAATCCTGCGTACCATCTGATTCTAGTATGAAGAAATGATGCTTTCCTTTAAGTAAATAAAACCACAATCTGCAAATGACACACCACTATTCTTTTCCATTTACATAATCCAAACCAATTAATTCAATATCATTCTTTTCAATGTTAATTTTTCTGAACCACATAATTTTCTATTTTTTAAAAAGACTTATTTTATGCATAAACTAACTGTATCTACATGTACACCTGCTTGCCAGATCTCATTACAGACTGTTATGAGCCACCATGTGGTTGCTGGGAACTGAACTTAAGCTCTCCGTAAGGCTAGTACTCTTAACCACTGAACCATTTCTCCAGCCCATGATTTTTTAATTTTTAAAGACCTGTGGTGGTCTGACTGATAATGAACCCCCACAGGTATTTTGATCCCTATTGGTGAAACTGTTTGAAAAGAATTAGAAGATATGCATTGTTGGAGAGCAGGCTTTAAGGTTTTAAAGAGCCATTTTACCTGTGCTCCCTCTCCACCTCTAATTTGTTGATCAAGATGTGAGCTCTCAACCCAGCACTGTGGAGCATGCCTTTAATCCCAACACTTGGGAGACAGAGGCAAGACAAGATCTGCAAGCTGTTCCTGTTATCATGCCTTTGTTCTGTCATCATGAACTCTGGCCTTCCATAATAGATTATAACCTTGGTTAGTCCTATACTTTAAAAACTACCCAAAGAGCTGCAGTTTTCTAATTGTATCTGAATTGTAACTGATAATTTAAAATTTCCCAAATACTAAAAATCTGTTACCTAATCAAGACATGTTAAAAGGGAACCTTTTCATGATAATAAAATTTGGACCTTATATACTTTCACACAAGTTTTCAATCTAATAATGGAAAAGCTCATATTCTGTTGTGGCTCAAAATTAATAAACATATCACTGAAAATAATTTAACTTTAGTTGACACCACTTCTACTCCTATTGAATATTATTATTATCAGATACATAGGTCCTTTAGTACCACATACTGAAAACTATTTGCCAGACAAAGAGTAAAATAATCTTTGTTCTTCGTAACTGTTACTCTCTAGAAGGTTCTTTAGCAGGTAAACATATTTGAAAAGAAAGTGATTTGTAAGGAATTACACAGCCCATTTCTCAATGTTACCATCCTGCTACTCAACAAATATTACAGGCTTTTATAGTTTTGTGTAAAGTCCTGGAGATTTAATAAAAAGTAATAAATATTACACTACTGTTTCTTTCATATAGAAGGTCAGATTTTTTGGAAAATTGGTAAGCAGTAAATTAAAATACTAGACAAATGAATTCAGAGCCTGTGAGGTGCTAAACGTTATATTTTATTTGAAATCTATTCTGTTTATAACTATGCCTATTTAAAGTAACCTATTTAGAATATAAAGTCTCTAACTTGTATTAAAACATTAGTAAAACTTTTTTTTCTGAGATACTTTGATGGAGGAAGGTCATTGGCTAATAAAGGAACTGCCCTGGCCCATTTTATTGGTTAGAATATAGGTGGGAGGAGAAAACAGAACAGGATACTGGGAGGAAGAGGAAGTGAGCTCAGAGACTTGACAGCTCTCCTCTAGGGAGCAGACACCTGAGAGAGACGCCATGCCCCGCTCCCGGCATGAAGCTCCGACCCAGGATGGACTAGGCTAGAATCTTCCCGGTAAGACCGGTTCTCACAGATTATTAGAGATGGGTTGATCGGGATGTGAGAATTAGCCTGTAAGTGCTAGAGCTAAAGGGCCAAGCAGTGCTTAAAAGAATACAGTGTCTGTCTAATTATTTTGGGGCATAAGCTAGCTGAGCAGGCGGCCGGGGTGCTGGGAACGCAGCCCCGCCGCCCTAATTACTACAATACTTAAGCGCATTTTGATGAAAGGGGTCTAAAAGTCTTAACTTTACCATTATTTTACTTAAGGAACTACATTCAACTACATTATTATATAAATCACCAGATATTATATTTTCATAATATTGTAACAAAAATATTTTACTGCTTTCAATGAATAAAATGTTTTCCATATTTTACAGTTACAAAAATAAATAAAATCCCTTAACAAGAAATAGGTAACACCAACAAGGTGAAGACATTTTTGACTGCTCAAGAAAATAAAGTTAAGTGTGAACAAATGGAAATAAGAGCTGTTTTTGGCATGGAGCTCTGCAAAGCTGTGTGTATCCAAACTCATTACATCCAAGTGTTGCAAGCAAATCGTCTTTGAATAAAAGCAAATAATAGTAAGAAATTTTTCTGAAAAATGAGCAAAGAATATCAGATAAAATGGTCAACCTATTTTAAAAGATTCAAGAAGCCTATTGAAACTAGAGAAAGTATAATTCAGTTTATCCAGTGTATTGTAAAAAAAATTAACTGTCAATATTTTTAAATCAGAGAATTTACATAAATATTCAGACCAGAGTTTTTGTTTTTCCTAATTTTATAAAAAATTATTGGAAACAACAATATGTCTTATGACATATGTCTTTCCATATGTCTTATGAATGTCTTCTCTAATTTTCCAGAACAAAGTAGTTAGGCATGACAGACAGAGAATTGTGATGCTGCACTGAGAAAAGGCTGGAAAGGAAAGAAAACTATGCTAAACTAACCCCAACAAAGACAAAAACTCTTTTCATCTCAAAAATAATGGCCCTGACCTTGAAGATAACATGTATTTTCACAGTGTTCACTTGCAAATTCCTATTTATCAACAATATGGGCTCAGATAAGCAGGTATAATATCGGTAAATAGTTGTGTAGAAACATGTATTTGTTCTCTAACTAAACATAAGTAATATAGGAGACACTGGTTTAGTTACTGTAAATAATCTCTAGCTTATTGAGGCGTGTATGGAGGAACCACAAATGTCACAGCATACACGAATCTACATAGGAAGAAGAAAAAGACAAGCTCTTCTGAGTAATCGAGGAGTGTCGAGGTCACTCGAGGAGTGTCGAGGTCACAGGAGAGGGCAGAAGGGGAGAGGGGAGAAAATGTATAGCTCAATAAAAACAATAAAGACAGAGGGAGGAAGGGAGGGAGGGAGGGAGGGAAGTTAACTGCAGTTCTGGGAGAAGGATTCAGAGTCTGGCATACTCTGTTTGGCTAAGACTCAAGGAGGCACCAGTCCATTGAAAAAGGTGAAAGGATTTTGCTTAAAAGAGTACCTATCAGCCAAACCCAGATCGATGACTGTAACTGATTATAATGTAGAAAAAAGAAAAGTTCCATTTGATTAAGAGGACTAGGTGGAGTAGGAGGAATTGCCTTTTTTATGTTTGCTTTATTAACAGCTATTAAGAGAAATGATCAAATTTTAAAAAATCATCATTTGTAGTTCCTATTATAGTAATGATTAGCAGTCTTATGAGTGAGTGCTAAACTGTGGATGCCCAGTTTCAGGGAAAACAGATCTTCAAATTGACTAATATATATCCTACAGAAATATATCCTAAAGTAGACATTTGTACCTTCTACACAGAGGTTTTAAGGTTGGTTGGTCAATTAACCAAGTTATCACATCACAGTTTAACATTTTGTTCCTCATACAGTAAGAAGTACATAAGATCATCTCCTAAATATTCTAGCCAAAACCAGTATTTGTTCTGAACTTATCCAAGATCCAAATGATTTCTAAGTTTATAGGAAATGAAAAGGTTAGAGAAAAGCAATCAGACAAATTCAGAGGTAAGACAGACTTTTCAACATATGAGGGTAAATAATAACCTGTAATTATCTGAGGTTACATTAACAGCACATATGAGTAAACCGAAAACTATGGCAACCACTTATTTTCAAAATGATGTGTATACACATACACTTTCCTTATACAGGGAAATTAAAAGCATAAAAGTAGATATATTAAATACTAGCATTTGTTGACTCTGGTCATTCTCAACCTGTGAGCCCCAACCCCCTTGGAGGTCAAATGACCCTTTTATAGGGGCCACCAAAGAAATTTACATTATGTTTCATAATAGTAGCAAAATTACAGTTATGAAGTAGCAACAAAAATATTTTTTATGATTGGGGTCATTACAACATGAGGAACTGGATTAAAGGGTCACAACACTGGGAAGGTTGAGACCCACTGCTCTAGAAAGTTAAAATACTAATTTTATTGTTTAACTTTATAAAATGCCCAAATACATAAAAGTAACAAGAGTAAAGATTTACAAAATCACAGTCACAAAAAGCACAATCAATCTTTGGAGATTTATTTAAGAATGTAAATATGACAGTTAACTAGGAGTGGGTAGAGGCATACTTAAAGAATGCAAAGGTGGAAAGTACTCCTTAAAACATGGCTACTGAAGCCGGGCGATGGTGGTGCACGCCTTTAATCCCAGCACTCGGGAGGCAGAGGTAGGCGGATCTCTGTGAGTTCGAGACCAGCCTGGTCTACAGAGCTAGTTCCAGGACAGGCTCCAAAGCCACAGAGAAACCCTGTCTCGAAAAACCAAAAAAAAAAAAAAAAAAAAAAACAAAAAAAAAAAAAACATGGCTACTGAGATTATGTAGACCATTACTTTTCTTTAAAATTATCTTTAAATAAAGTAAATAAAGACACCTTCCATATTCAGGTTTCCAGAAACATTATCAGAAAAGACGATCTCTCTACATCAACAAGGCAATTTCAACCTGTTTAACACAAAAACAAACAACAAAAACCCACACCAGGTTTCTAAAAAGAAAACTTTTAAACATGAAACTCACTAAAATTGGTGAAAGGGGCCAGAGAGATGAGGAGTGGTTCCTCCCTTATAAAAGAGGAAGAGAAAGCCAACAGTTCTTTGCTTACCAAAACCTAAACAACAGTCCTTTTCAAAACAAAACATGAGGTCTATTATACTTTGCAACTCTGTAGAATAATAATTATGCATTTTGCTTTTGTAAAATGAAAACATCATTAACCTAAGATAGCGTACATTTCCCCCAGTCCTGATTTATACTAAAGTAATAATGATAGTATCTGAGATGCACAGAACTTTAGCTTACAGCATTCTATCAGGTCATCTAATTCAAATAACTAATCTGTAATTTTTCATGATAAATATTCTCATTGTTGGATATAACATGGAATAGAGCAAAAAAAACTGAAAACGTAAGACAATGAACAGCTATGATCTTCCACATGTAGTGTATTGTACTTCTAACAAAACAAATAAGGCTATAAAAATATTTCCTGCCTGATCCAAGTGATTACTTCTAACCATTTTTCTTTTTCACATTTTAATAACTTAAAACTTCACTGAAAAGAATGTCTCCCTTTTATACACTTTGTATTTAAGTCAGTCACTGAAAGAAATGACTACCTCAGTCATGTCTATAGTAGCAGTAATAGTAGAAAATTTCATGTCCAAAAAACATATACATCCATTTAAGGAGCAAAAAAAAAAAGTAAACACTGAAAGAGAAAAGGCATAAAACAGTGTAGATTGAAAAAGCTGGAGCTGAATGCGGTAGTGCACATCCTTAACCTAAGCACTCTGGAGTCAGGCAGAGAGAGTTCCTCAGCTAAGAGGCTAGCTGGCTCTATACAGTAAATTCCAGGTCAGCCAAAGGCTAGCTACATAGTGCAAAGCCAGCTCATCCTCTCTACTCACCCATTCCCCAAAAACCAACAAGATGAGGCTTTTATACTAACTTTGGGGAAGGATAATCCAGAGTTAAATCATATTTCTCAGTTTAAAGTTTCTTTTTTTTTTTTGAAATAGTTACTGACAAATTTCAAATGTTTGCACTTACCTATCAGTATCTTTATCTTCAGGCAGCATGGGAGGCAAAGGTAACGGGGGTAATGTAGAGGTCACTAAAGCCACATGTTGCTCCTTCTCCTTAGCGCCTACGCTTGGTGTGAGTGGCTTAGTTTTCTCTTTAGTAGCAGACACTGGTTCTTCCTTTGTAGCAGCAGCTTTACTTTCCTTCCCAACAACTGTTTTCTTGGAGGTTTTATCTACAATCAAGTTATTGTCTACCTTTGTTACTTGAAGGGGTGGCTTTGTCTTTACTTTGTCACTTTTGGCAGTCCCAGCACTTGAGGGCGAAGGTGCATGTTCAGTTTTCAGTTTCTTCACATCCTTCACGTGGTTTGTTTGTGGGGCACTGGCACCAGTTTCTGTGCTCCCCTTCGTAGGGGTAGATGCATTTGAGGCTTTTGCAGCTTTGGCAGCTGCCTCAGCAGCCTTAGCTGCCTCTGCAGCCTTAGCTGCCTCTGCAGCTCTTGCTGCCTCTGCAGCTCGTGCCTTTTTATTCTTGTTCAATTCAGCTGCCAGGCTACTCTTGAGAGTTAGTGTACTAGGAGAAATGCTTGAGTGACGACTTCTAGATCTAGACAATCTGTGCCTGCTACGAGATCTTGAGTGCCTAGATGAATATGGGCTTCTGCTTCGAGATTTGGCAGACCGTCTGGTGAAAAATAGTTAATATTTAGTCAGTAACCAAATTAAATTTTATAGAGTGCTAATTTGAATATCTGAAGTGAAACAAATTTACTTAATTTCAAAATAATAATACACCATCTCTGAAAGGTTTTGTTGTTATTTCCAAGTAAAATACCAGAGGGCAATTTTCTTTAAAATATTCTTCTTTTGCTCTGACCTATGAATGCTCAAAGATAAGGCTAAATTTAAAACAAAACAATAAAAAAACTTCATAAGAAAAATAACAATTAGGGCAGCAGCAGGCCATCACTGCTAAGTCAGAGAGGAGGAATAGGCAGTAAGTATCAAACAAAGACAGCAGCAGATAAGTCTTCTACCCTCCTCCCTCAGTCACAGTTTCTGGTAGAAATAAATTGTGTTTCTTTACCACCATGAGTCCTATTTTTGATACTTCAGAATTCCCTATTACTCGTCTTCTAAGTTCCCCTCCCAAATTCTTTCAAAATGTAGAAATAAGACCTAGTTTGTTTCAGCATTGAGCTATCATTGCATACAAGCCCCATGCCTTACATAAAAATATATGCAATTATTTCTGAATAATAAAAATAAGCCTTTAAAATATTCTAATTCATTAAGCAGCTGTACATACCAATTATTGAAATAAAGATACAATTTTACAATTATTCACTAAAATAAGTGAAAACACTTAACTAAATCAAAGAAAGATTGTAAAATAACCTGCATAATTTTATATAGGAAGCAAATGCTATATTAGGAAACTTGGCTACATTTTGATTGTTTCTTCTCCCTTCAGATGATTGAGCTCCAGACAAAACATATGTAAGTCATATGTGTATCCCCTGATCAGATAGATACCAATGAACAGCAAGAGAAAGAAAGCAAAGAGATGGCATTCTCATCACAGGTAATAAGAGACTTTTATAAAGCAATTTTTCTACAATGTATTTCCTAGGACCATGACTTGGGTTACCTATTTAATACAGACACAAAAATTGTATGTAATACATTCTCAGACTCTGCTAAGTTGCTAGTAAACTCCAATGATACATTTACTATTTACAGCTAACAGTCTGATAACCTAAAATTTAATATAAAAAACAAAACTCAAATGTAGATGATTTTTAAGTAATAGTTTTGCCAACATTTCCAAAAACCTTACCATTTTGCTAATGTTTCAGGTATAGCTGTGAGGGTGAGAAAGAAACGCATCTTTAAACCTATAACAAGTTACACTATAACAATCTTACTAAAATTCTTTCTTATGAATAAAATTTCTTAATTTTTTTCTTGGACAAGACAACTTGGTGTTAAAGCATTTGTCACCAAATCTAAATACCAAGAGTTCTAGCCCCCAAGGACCCATAAGAGAACCAATTTCTGCAATTTATCTTGACCTCAATGTACACACGCAAGTAAGCATGCACGCACGCACACAAACACATAACTAAGTAAACAATTAAAATGGGTTTTTATGATAGTTCTATCTGTTGAATTTACAGTGAACACGTTAACTATTCACTGCTTGTTTGTTTTTCTGCTTTGTGGTTTTTTGAGACAGGGTTTCTCTGTGTAGCCTTGGCTGTGGTGGCACTCATCTGTAGACCAGGCTGGCTTCAAATCACAAAGATCCCCCTGTCTCTCTGCTTCTCGAGTGCTGGGGTTAAAGACATGTGCTAACCCTGCCCGGCTCATTGCTGGTTTTAAGTAAGTTAAAGATCTCTTTAGGAGCTAAAAAAGATGGCACGGGGCGGTGGAAATTAAGAGCAGGTAGTGTTCTCAAAGGTTCAGCACCAAGGTCAGGCACCTGGCTCCAGGAGATCCAAAGCCCCCTTCTGATCTCAATGGGCACTGCACTCATTTGCACATACCGCCCCCACACAATATTTACAAACAAAAATTTTAAGAACTCTTTTAAAAAACTAAGAGATTATCTTATGCTTTTAAGAACTTTTCCAAATTTACTTAGATTTATACAATTTAAGTAAAATCAGAATTGCAACTCAAACAGGCTAGAGCTCACTACTAATTAGCTAGGCTAGTTAAGTGTCCCTTAAAGCAGTGGTTCTCAACGTGGTTTTCTTTCTAATGCTGCAACCCTTTAATGCAGTTCCTCATGTTGGGATGATGGGATGACCTCCAACCATAAAAATATTTTTGTTGCTACTTCATAACTATAATTTTGAGACTGTTATGAACTGTAATGTAAATATTTTTGGAGCAGAAGTTTGGCAAAGGGGCTGAGACCCACGGGTTAAGAATCACTACCGTAAAGGGAGAGAGCATGGTATCCTGGTCATTCCAACTATATCACAGAGACTCTGCAAGAATCCAGTTCTGAGCAATGTACTTGGTGAACTCTCACAAATTCAGGCAGCTTTGTCCCCTTTGCCATCATAGCTCTTTCCCACAGCTCCAACAGCACTCACTGTATTCTTGTCATTTCAGGATTTGCTCTTAGTGAAGACTTAGCATTCTTTGTGAGCTCCCTTAATCTGCATCACCGTTGTGGTTTCTTTTTAAAGTCTCCTCAGTCATCTAAATTAGATTTCATTTTTTCTAAAACTTTCACTAGGTATGCCAAGTCTTAAAACCAAAATAATCAATTTTTAGCTACCTAAATTATTTTTGCTGAAAGATTATCCAATCCACCATTGAGCATCATTTGCCAATGCAACTTCCTGGGGTGAAAGAAAACACAGAAGCTCACATAATCAATATCCAATACAATTGCCATTACCCTCAACACTTCTTAGCCTACTTTTTTTGCCTTATTTATCTTACGTCCTCAAGGAATTCTCACAGTAACATTTACTTTAAAAGCTTGTTTAAAATCCTCAAGAGGTATGAAAATGATTATCAAACTGAAAATTACCATGCTAAGTATTATTTTTTTCAAAATGTGTCTTTTTCACATTCGTATTTATTGTTGCACTGGTCACAATAGTTAGGAAATAGAATCAACTTAAGATGTCTATCAACATATGAATGGGTTAAAAAACAGCACAGTACATACACACAATGGAACCTTATTGAGCCATAAACTAATGTGGGATTTCCTTCTGTATGTTGTGATTACCATTAATGAATAAAGAAACTGCTCTGGACCTATAGCAGGGCAGAATTTAGCTAGGCGGGGAAAACTAAGCTGAATGCTGGGAGAAAGGAGGACAGAGTCAGAAAGAAGCCATGGAATCATCGCTGGAGACAAAGTGCTGAAACTTACCTGGTAGGCCACAAACTCGTGGTGGTGCAGATTACTAGAAATGGGCTAAATTAAGACGTAAGAATTAGCCAGTAAGAAGTTAGAGCTAATGGGCCAAACAATGTTTTAATTAATACAGTTTCTGTGTGATTATTTTGGGTCTAGGCTAACCAAAGGGACGGGAACCAACAAGCGGCCCTCCTCCAACAATAAACAAAAATGAAATCATGGCATTTGCAGGAAAATAAGAGTGGAAATTTTTATGCTAAGCAGATTAGCAAATTTCACTAAAAAGACCCCTGCATTTTTGTCTTAAATGTATTATTGAGATTTTTAAATTATTATTCATATTTTTAAAAGGTCTCTTTCAAGCATTTCTTAGTTAAAACTTTAAATGGCTAGCCAGGAGACACACCTTTAATCCCAGCTCTCGAGAGGCAGAAGCAGGAAAAAAATCTTTGCGTGTCTGAGGTCAGACTGGTCTACATAGTGAGTTCTAGATTAGGCAGGGCTACATAATGAGATACTGTCTCAAAAAATATTCAAAGAACAACAAATGATGTTTCTATGTACTTTATTACGCACTGTTGTATGCACTCTACTAATTATTTACAACAGAATGGTGGGAGTTTCTTAAATGTACCTCATTTAAAATCTACCCTATCTATCTAATCTATTAGACTACTGAATACATCAGATCCAGCACCGTCTAAAATTAAGATTTAGGAAGTACATACATCATTCTCTTAATATTTGATCCTCTTAACATTCTGTTTTTAATTTTACTATTCTCTATTTGTTTAACCATGCTACAAATTTCATTTCCTGGTAAAAACATGCTATCTTAGCAAGCACCTTATCTTACTTACTACTCTACATTGCCTTGTATAGCCATACCCTCTGAATATTTCCCTACTGTTGCTGTTAACAAACTAGACCAAAGCAACACAAATTACCTCACAGTTCTAGACACAGAAATCCAGTGAGTTTTGAAAACTTAAACCACCTATCTCCACTCAAATCTCGAAGTAATATGTTTTCTTACCTTTCCCAGTTTCACTTAACTCAAGGCATCCATCATTCAGGCTTCTGCTTCCATCACTTCCTTCCTGTATGTATTAGCATATGGCATTTCTAACTCAATCCCACAGTCACCTTTCCATAAACCTCCTTGCCAAACAGGAACTACCTAGGTAGTACATTTTAATCGTATTTTGCCACAACATACTTTATATACACATTCCAGAGAGTATAACATGGGTATCTTAGAGGGTCTTACATAGTCTACCATACTCCTCTTTTTTCCTCAAAACCACTTTTCTCTTTCATCCCACCACTTCTCTCTTAATCTAACCTGTTCAATTGATATATTCTCTCTGTAAACAGCATAACCAAACCAATCTTCCTTGCTATTCAATGATTTTTTTTGACATGTCCCAAATCCTTCACATTCCTTTTCTTCTACAAACCTTCTCAACATTCTTAAAGCTCACCATCCAGTTCCAAAATTTATCAGGCATATCTTCTCCCACACAAACATTCTACTTCATTGCTATCTAAAATTAACCCCTCTGTGATGAACCATGCTCTGGAACCTTATTTTACAGGGTGTTGACCCCAAATGGCACAACCTGTAAGCATGTCAAAAATGATGTTTCTCATCTCCTTTCTGGTACCTATGGTCTTAAACACACAAAAATATTTGTAAAAAAAATAGCAGATAGGTGAATCAAAAGATCAAGTGCTAGTATATTGCTATTTTATCTTTCCTGCAAGTCAATCTCCTGTGCCCATAAACTCAT